TTTTTAAAAAAAAAAAAAAAAAAAAAAAAAATGAGTATGCAACACAGATGGATAGTCACGTTAAAATAATAGAATTAAAACTTACCATGCCAATCACCTTATTAATTTTCACTTGTTGCAATCCTCAAGACATTAGTTTCTGAAGGATCTTCCTGTGCATAGATGCATTTGGATGCTTATCTTCCACACTTACAATTTTCAGAGTCCTGCGTCTGGAGAACCATGCACCCAACAGAAATAGTGTTTTTGGGACCATGAAAGAGGCGTGGCCGCATAACATTAGCATTAAAAAATGGCCATTGGATGTACTTCCAAGAAACTTTCAAATGTTGATATGCTTCTCTTTGAATAGTTCAAGAAGGTACACATCAATGAGGAGAAGAGAGTAAAATATTCATAAACTGAGGAACTGCGTGGTGGGGAGAGGAATGTATGGTTGCCATCTCTGTTTTCTCAAAATGCAGATGGCTGAAGGGATTTCCTACACCTAAAAACTCCCCGTAAAAAATGGAAAGAAAAAAGGAAATGCCTTTAGAGATGTGAAGTTTCAGCCAAAAAGCTATAAAGTTGTAGGATCTGTACAATTCTGAGGTACACGCACCTATCTACATCAGAATATTAAAAGTAAAAATGAGATACTAGGATGGGCATAGGTTTATAGTATTCTAATATTCAAGCTCTGACCTTCTGCTCTAAAGATCACTTTACTCATGTAGCTCATGAAGTTTGTTGTCATCTTTGTATTTGGGTTAGATATCCAGGTTAAAAACTTAAGTCCCTTAGGTTCCTTCTCAATGTACAGGTAAAAGCTCAATGGGATCTAATGCGCGATCCACACAGTCACACCTCCTGCTGTGCCACATGCATGGCAGGAGGTGGCATTGTGGGATTGCACATTAAATCCCATCACGCTTTATTGCTGGTGCAGGGGAGACCAATGGTGGGCTCCCCCTGGCCCAGCAAGAAGCAAGCTCCTGCAGCTGGAAGCCCTTGCAGCTCCCATGAGCCCATGTGCAGCTGCCACAATCTCCCATTCCCAGGGGTGAGTGAAGCCCCGGAGGCTGGGATATCACTGCAGCTGCAGTCTTCCAACCCTGGGTATTTTACCCATCCCTAAGGCTGGGAGATCATGGCAGCTGTGATCTTCCTGCCCTGGTGCTGGAAGACTGTGTCAGCTGTAAACTCTCAGTCCTGGGGACACCTAGGGCTAAGAGATCACGGCCTCCCCCTGGGTCCTGGCATGGGAGGTACGTTGCCAGGACCCAGCATCTGCAGCTGCTGGAGCTGAGAATTCCCCTAGTTGCAAGAATCCCAGCCTTGGCTGGGGAGACAGGGCTGCCACTGGGGAGACCCTGCTACAAATTCAAATTAAAGCTCAGTAGCAACCAGCTATAAAGGTATTACACATTTTTGAGGTCTAACTTTATAGCTGGTTGGAGCTTTTTATGGCGTGATAAGTACTTTGCATGTGTAGCCGGTTGCCAGGTAATTGTGCAATTAACCAGTTAATTGTATGATACCTGTAATGTGTAGACGGCCTTATAATTGTCTTGCAGATAAAAGATGGAGTGTAAATGTGTAAAATAAGAATATGTTCAAGCATAAGGTACAACAGAAAACTTCTCTTCTTGTACAGCTCTGCCTATACTTTTAAGAATGGGACAGGTGCCTCTCAGCAAACCGCTGTATCACTTCCACACACATCCCAATTTCAAACCGTGTTAGAACACCTCCAAAGGACGATGCAGATTACCATGAGCTTGGGAAGGGTGGCATATAAATTGAATGACTGAATAAATAAATAAATAAGTTAAATGTTTACTGCCCAGGATAAATAAACAATTTCAAGTTTATTTTTATGAGACTGGGATTAGGGGGAAAAAACAATGCCTTGTCTCTTCCTTAATTTTCTAAGTAGTATAGTTCATTTTAGACCTGAAAAATAGTTAAAGCACCCAAGTTAGAAACAAGATCCAAATTGACCATGTGAATAAATGTATGGAAATTCAACACTGAATTTATATAATTTGAAATATGTGAACTAGTGTTTTTTTTCATGTGAGGGGTGCCTCCTGAAATAGGAAAAATTAGTTATTTAACTTCCATTTGTACAATGTATGTACTACATTAAAAATAAACTTGACATACATACCACTTCCCTGAATCAGTTTGTGAGCTGTTGTAATTTAAAAAGTTTCTCCCTATTTCATTGGCAGTAAACTAAAGGATATATTATCACAAGAATTGGTGCCTTAGAAGTATAATATTTTTAAGTATAAAATATTGCACTATGTATATAATATAAAATAATGAGACAAAATATCTTTGTCAAATGAGAGGCATGTGCGTGTGTGCGCGTGCACACACATACATACACACACTGCCTTGATCTTTGCTGTATTTTAAATACAGGAGACAATTTTTAAGACTTTTAATCTTACCAAATAGTGTGATTTACATTGGGTTCAACAAAAAGAAAACAAAACAATTCCTCTCTTCCTCCCTGGCTTCAAATTTATATATAGAAGTGTTTATATATTGTGAATAACTATATAAACACATTCTTGTTTATAAGGCCATGTCAGAAGTTACAGAAAAGTAAATTGTAACTTGCATTTTCTTTTGCTGTCATGATCATATTCATTCTTCCCAGGGTGACCTTTCCTTTGATTTAATAGATTTCATTGTTGTAAACTTTTTTCTTTCTCTCCGAGTAATGTAGTTGTAGTGAATCCTTAAGCAATGCATTTTCCAGAGTATTTGCAAATGTTGTTAAGAAAAGTAATTCCATCTCCACACACTTGTATTTCATGTGCTGAAGAAAGGCTTAGACTGCTTTTGATTGAGATTTTTCCCATTTTATTGAGCAGTGGTGTTCTAGGATCAAGCTGAATTGCACAGCATAAGAAAAGAGCAGTGAGCATTTGATGGAAGCAGATAATAAAATGCATCAATTGTGTCAGCACCTCGTTGCAGTCGCATCTGGCTTACTGTCAGGGTCCCGTTAGATTCCTGTGGTTTTATGTACCAAAAAGAATATGCTCTGTAGTTAATGGAACTAGGATATTTGCAGTTTGATTTTAAAAAAATCATCTTATTTTTTATCAGATCTTTTGTTGGGCTTAAGTTCTATCTGAGCATAGCCTTGTCACTTTAAAATTTTACGACTGAGAGATCAATTGTTCTTTTGATCTGTTTCTCTTTCTTTTTTTTTTTTCCTTATTACAGTGAATCCAGTAGCCTGAGCAGCAGTGATGGTGGTTTGTTTACCAATGATGAGGGAAGACAAGGTAGTGATGTATTTTTTTTTCTCCAACTTATCAGTCTAAATTCTATAAGAATTGCAAGTTAGTAGGTTGATGACTGTTCCAGTTGTTTTAATGTTCTTCATAACAAGTTGAGGGTATAACTTGCTTCTGTATTCTTAAACAATATAGAATGGTGTTCTGTCTCCATGACCTAAAATCGTTAAATCCCGTGTTTATCTCTGAAAGCTTGTATATAAAGCTCATATTAGGTAGTTTTTTTGAGCAATTTACATTATCCTTTGTATTAAAATAAATACATCCAAGACAAATATGGAAAAAGTACAAAAGTAACTAAATTTATAGAACTTTTCATTGACTGAAAACCTATTCTCTGAAAAAAGTCATTGAGGTCAGTGTCTCTTTGCCATCCCAGAATTATAAAATGTGAAAAACCAGTGTCATGTAGAGGCATTCCCTTTCTGCAGTGCATTACTTATACATCTGAACTTTACCTTTTTATGGACAGCATGATCAGGTCTGTATTTTTTTTTGGTGTGAAGACTTAAGCTTTTCACAGTGTTTTGTACTATATCTTTGCAATCATCTGCAAAAATTACTTGTTTCATTTTCTTTTCCCAGTTATATTTCTGTAAAGGTACACTACATTCCTGTTTTGTTTTTTAATCAAAGAAATTTGATTATCTGGCAATTTCCTGGACCCACCTCTAGTGGTCCTGCATTATGGTTATGGTTTTGTAAATATATGCCCTGTGTAATAAAAGATATTTGTGTTTCAGCATATATTTTTATGTAACTGATACAAAAAAGCACCTACTTCTTCTAAATGATATTTATAGTCCTGTATGTTTTTGATGAGTAAATGGCAACTTTAATAATATAGTGTTACTTTTTTCAATCTGTATTGGTGTGATTTGATTTTTTTTTGTTTTGTTTTGTTTTGGGAAATTACAGTTGTAAAGAGATATAATTAACATTAGGAAGACTAGATTTCTATTTTGTTAGCACTGTAGTTTTTCTTATTTTCTGTTTGTTTGATTCTTGAAATTTGTACCTTTTCTCTGTGTGTGTTTCTAGTAGAATGTCTTGGTTTTAAAATTGGATTCTTAAAAAATAGTTAAAATTATGTATTGTTCTTTTGCATAGAAAAGGTAAGCCAGAAGTTGGCTATTTTTTACCTTATATTTTGCAAATTAATTATTTTGGTGATTTATTTATTTATTTATTTATTACTTCATTTATTTAGTTTTTACTCTGAATCTAATTTAATGCCATGGAGTCTTTTAGGTTGGGAGAATGTTATTGTTTCCATTTTAGACTCATTTAAATTTGCTGATGATTGATATTTCCAAGTCTCCTGTTAGTGTCAAAGTTATTGTTCCATGTCCTTTAACTCTTTGTTTTAGGTAACTTTGAACTGATGTTTAAAATTTTGGAAACGGACAATAAAACTTTGTCTATATAAAATGTAACTATTAAGAATGTCCCTTACTTACAATGCTGTAGCACTTAGGAGCTGTAGGTATGGCCCTTTTTTGCTAAAGAAAAAACACTGTTTCTATCCCAAAGAGATTATACAGTAAATATTGACAAGAGACAAGCTGTATACAGGCAGATGTGGATTTGCAAGGAAACAGTGCTGGCTGTCTCAGCAAATCAGCTATCTAACAATTGTCAGGCCTTTTGTAAGTACCAAGGAGAAGAATAATTTTAAGGAGGAATTTGGAGAAATATACTGAGCTTTGTAGGTGCTTTGCAGGAGCTCCTTTCATACCTGAGAGGGAAATGGGAGGAAAAAGTACAAAGGCACTTTTTGAAAATCAGCATGTTGTTATGCATCAGCTGAAGGCAGGAGTTAACATATCCAAGACTAGAAATAGATGTCACCAAATTAAATGGATCAGCTTTGCTGCAATGTGTCAAAGCACACAGATCATCCTCTTCACTGGGCAAAACACACATCACCCATTGTCCCTGTCCCCACCCCCTTTTGATTGTGTGAGACGAGGCAATATGACCTCCTCGCCTTTCCCACCTAGCCAGACCCAGAAAAATGTGGTTTTCCCCACTGAGCCAGAGCCTTTTCCTTGTGTTGGCAGAGAAATGAGTCTGGCTGGCCAAGGAAAAGCCCCACTTCCCCCACTCAGCCATGACTGGATGGAGGAGAATTTTACCCTGCTCTGCCAGACCTGGGCTACAGGTCTGGCGGAGCAGGGAAAGCACCACAGAGGTAACAGGAGTCTGCCAAAATAAAGCAACAGATTCTCTTACCACCTTTATTGTGCCACTGATTTTTCCTTTCATGTGGCACAAGAAAGGTATTCAGCATCTATTTCAGGGATGGGCAAAATATGGCCTGTGGGCCAGAACTAGCCCTCCATCTGGCCCTGGCCCAAGTGCAGGGGGCAGCTTGGGCCATGGTGCATGTGGCCAGTTCCACCGTTCCTGGGCATGTGGTAGGGCAGGGGCAGTGTGGCATGGTGCCTAGACTCCACTTCTCAGCAGCCCTAGCAACAGCTCCTTCTGGCCGCTGCAAGACCTGGCTCCACTGCCCAGGCAACCCTGGCCTGTCTGCCCTGCATCCACCACCATGGGTGTCGGACAGAGTCGGTGGGCAGGGTCTCCATGGAGACCAGCCGGGATGCCCACAGGTGGGCAGGATATGGAAGTGGGGTAGATGGGGGCTGGGATCATGGGATGGTAAGAGTGCAGAGCCAGAGCACAGGGCAGAGCCACAATCCATACCCCACACATCCCTGCCATGTGGGAAGCAGGTAGCACCTCTGCCCCTCACACTACCCTGTGACCCTGGGTTCAGCCCCAACTCCCAGACTCTGGTTCCCCTCACACCCGCAGCCCCATCTGATCCACCCAGACGAGTATGCCCTGCCAAAGGGGTCCTTGCTGGTCATTGAAGACCCTGCTCCATCTGGCGCCCCTGCTGGTGAGTGTGGGGTGGAAGGGCCTGGGCTGGATAGTACAATTGCCCTCCCCTCAACACTGCATATGCCCAAGTCAGCACCCTTCCCTACCTGACTGTCCTGGGCTGGGTCACCATCCCCCCCTCAGCCCCCCTCACCTCCAGCCGGCAATAGCTCACCCAAATTCCTGAAGTGCCCCTCCGACCAAAATAATTGGCCACCTCTGGTCTATTTGCTCAGCATTTGTAACAAATGAGATGGACCATGTCTGTTTCCACCCTAAGTGGAAAAGAGAAGGCAGCAAAAATAGGGATTTCCACTACAGGATATGATTTCCAGTAATACTATTAAAAAGGAATTATATAAACAGAAAGGAGTAAGAGTAGCTGGAGCACATACATTTCTGGAGAGAAGGACTTGGAATTTTAGCTGTTAACACAGACTTCAGCACTGAGTTTGCCCAATAAAAGTTAAAATATGATGTACTTACTATTAGTAAAATCTACTTTTGAAAAAACTAAAACAGAGATCAGTTCACTCGTAACAAGAAAGCCTTTTAGCACTGGGGAAAACCTATTTTGTTTTTGTAATGTTCACTAACCTTCTTATATTGCCCAAATATGTTCTTTTTAGGGCAATGGTTCTCTGGTCAGCACATGCAAAAAAAAAAAAGTGAAAAAAGCTTTGGGTAGAAAATAAATCACTCAAAATTAAGAAATGCCAGAATTAAAGGTGCCTGTGCACCCTCTGTTGAGTCATTTGCAAGCCTCCATTGATACAGTCATTAATTGCATACCACAGTCCTTAATTATATTATCACATGTTATCTCTTTCTACAGAATGCCTGCCTCTTTCAGTGTGTAAAGGAGAGTGTTCACCAAATGAGTAGATAGTCCTGTTTCATTTTACCTTCCTTTAAAAGGTGATCACATTCTTGTTCCAACTCTTTTGAATACAGAATTCATGGCTTTCTTAGGTAGCCACCACTAAAAGTAACAGAATACTGAAAGATCTAATGTTTTCATCTTCATAACCATCTGTGAAGTTGCACAGCTATTAAGGTATAGACTGCCTACCAGTCTTTGTTGTGAACTTTGAAATGCCTAGGAACTGATTTCCCCCTCTCCAATCATTTGGCAGTCTGAGTATAACGTGTTCACAACAGAATTTCTGTTGATTTCATTTGCAATTGCATTGTTTTCAATTCTGGCCCCAACTACCTCACATAGAACACACATCTCCTCCTGTGAACATGGTCAAAGTGATTTGCCCAGTATTGCATACAAACTCTGTTGGAGGGGTAGAATTCAGTCCTAAAGGTTGGCCGTCAATTGCTTAGGTCATCCTTTCCATCCATCTCCTTCTCTGCTTTATTTACTGTGTGCCTCAATTTCTGCAACAAATAAGGCCAGGTTGTTCCAGGAAATGGGCTCTATTTGCTACACAGACACCCTAAGCAACAGCTAGCCTTTGGAATGAGGCAGAGGCTGTCCTGGAAAAACTGGTACATCATCTCACAATGAAAGACTCATAAGGCATATGCGCAAATGACCTTAATATGAGCCATCCTTAGGGCTGTCTGCAGCATAGAACTCTGCCACGTGATCTCACACAGCAACTTATAGTAATGCTGTGCTGTATCTTGAGGAAGTTGGCACTAAATGGAGATGAGAGCTATATATTGCCAGTAGGTTTTCTTGTTCAGACCCATGAATCATGGATTCAGTTCTGGAGCGTATATGCTATCTTTGTTACAGATCTTTCTACCCTTGGCTGCACTACTTGGACTTCTTTTGATTATCCTCCAGCTCTTAATCCATTTATACTACAGTTAGGCTACTCCTTCTTCAGATTGGCTAAGTAATTCTACAGTGGGCAAGTAAGGAATATAGTATTAGAACACAATGTTGATAAGTAAGTAATGTTTATAATGCAACACAACAGAGATACAGACTTCATTGCCTTTCATCCAATCATCCTGGAAAAAAGAAGGTGCTATCTTTTGGACCTGCTCACACGCAAGCAGCATCAGCCTATTCATCCCTGGCTACCAGCTATTTAATTTATGCTTTACTGTATATTAAAATACTGCCATGGGCTAAA